TATACCCATTACTATACTGTTGCCAGTATAGTAATGGCAACATTAAACACAAATAAATTGTACATTATACACAAATTGTACATTATACGCAAATAAAAACTAATTGTTAATTATTTAAATTCTTACAAAATACCAAACTTCTRTATAATATACAACTTTACATGTTAAAAAAACGCCAAAAAAAATCTATATCTCCACCACTAACACACCCAGGAGCCAGCAGGGACTTCTGCAAGGAGCTTTCAGACTTCTCACAGTTGCTGGAGGGAGGATTTTGTCTGAGCAAGTTTCTCTGGACCACAGGTGGCTGCATTTGAGGCAGGACACTGGGGTGGGATGAGGCAGAAACGCTGTGTGCCTGGGGATTCCTGCACCGGTAAATCCAGCAGAACAGCCTCCTCCTGAGGGGCAGGCTTCCAGGAATGACATCTGGAGGAGGGCCCAGAAATGCCACCTCAGCCTATGCAAATCCCAACCSCTTCATCCTCAAGGTGTGCCAGCTGGGCTCTTTAGTAATTCACTAATTTTTATAYGTGCAGTGTAAGAGTTAGGAGCAGAGGTTAATTGTCCAAGCTGATGGGGTGKTTTTTTTTTCAGTTGTTGTGCATTTATTCTGTATCACGGAGCAGTTTCCTCCTTTCCTGTACTTCGGGGGTTTGCAGTGATGTTGCACAAGTGAGACAAATGTCAAAGTCCAGGACAGAAGGTTGTGAAAGTCCTGGGGTTGTTGACTTGGTCCTGCTTTGGCAGCTTTGTCCTCTTACCCAGAGTTTGGCTGGACCGTGGGTGGGATCTGTCTGGCAGAGTGGACATCTCTGTCATCTCTAAAGGCCAGAGCTCGTCTGGATGGGGAGGTGACCCAAAACTCTTCCATTTATTGATGTAGCCCTCCAGAAAGCTGGGCTGAATTTTTATTCCATTCCATTTCCTGCAGAAAGCAGCACTGCTGGCTCTGTGGGGAGAATTCACACTGAGCCCTCCAAGACAAGAGTGCTGCTGAGAAATTGAGCTCTTGGCAGTGCTCATCTCTGGTTTTAGTCCAGAGCAKGGCAGTGAGATCCCCTTGCAGAGCAGATCATGGCTCTGCACCCCCCCTGGTTTGTAATGCCTGATTGTTGGATGGAGGGTGCCTGTGTGAGCAGGCTCGTTATCTCTAGAACAGTTAATAAGGAACAAATGAAGATTATCACAATGTTGATAGAGATGAAACAGCATATTTCCATCCCCTGCCCAAGAGTGGCATCTCTGAGCTGTGGTGSCAGGAATTCAGGATCTGTGAATGATGCCTGATGGTTTTTGCTTTTTAATTTTATCTTTTTATCACCTTAACCGTGTCTTACCTCATAATTATAAACTGGCTGTCAAGGCAACACCAGCCAAGAGGAAACAGGAGCTACTCATGCTTGTACCCACCCCTGAATTTCAGACAACTGGGTGAATTTTATTTTTAAGCGGGCTGTTGCCTTGCTCCAGTTTTTTCTTTAATCATGAACAGATGCACATGGGTCCTGTTTCTTGCAAACCTGGATGTGCCGAGTGGGAGAATGACTCAGGCAGCAAARGAAGGCTGAATCTGCAGGCACAGCAGCCTTGGGCACGTGTGTTTGGGAGTGCCAGACTGGGGGTCTCTGGGGTGTCTTTCTGGAGTGTCTGAAAGGTGTCAAGTGCTCAGAATCAATAAAACTGGAGAGCTAGAGGTGAAGGCAATGAGGAGTTTGTGGGTTGTTGGGTGGGTTTTTTGGGGKTGGTTTGTTATTTTGTTTAAATTGTCATATGTAATGAAAAAGTAATAGATGCAAAACCTAGAAGAYTGATCACCCAAACAGAATTCCCTTATTCAGCAGGGATGTCTCCAGAGCAAACTGGGGATTGCCAGTGCAACTCTTCTGCCTCCCAGGGCAGCACTGACTGGGTCTCCATGGGTTTCTGTCRGGCTCCTGAGGTGGCCAGGAGCTGCTCCTTCTGCAGCCAGGAGTGCTGAGGTGCCAGCCGAGGTGCCAGGGGTGACTCCTGCTCTTGGGGGTAGGAGCAGAAAGTTAATGAATGCAGAGCAAACTTTGATCTCATTAAAAAGATAAAATGTGCTTCCCTCCCTTCAGCTCCTCCTGCCAGCATGGGAATCTCTCCTCCTGTGGTCCCAGGTGATGAGATCGTGATTCCTGGCACTGGGATGAGGCAGAGGTGATCCTGTAGGATAATGGGGGCTGTCAGCTGTCGGAGGGGCGGGCTGGCTGCTGAGGAGCAGCAGGTTGCTATGATACAGTTTGCTGTGGCAATGCCTGYGCTGAATGAGCCCAAACTGCCCCTACAAAAGGAGCATTCCTCGGCTGGGAGGGGGTAGATTTATCTGAAGTGTTTATGTAAAACCAAGAAGCTGCAGGGAGAGGATGTGYGTGGGAACGTTTCCTCCAGCCTCGGGCCCCTGTCTGGAGGCAGAGAGCCCTGTGTGCGTGGGGAGAGGGCACGGCTCACGTAAAAGATCTGGCTAATTCAAGCATGCAGATCAGCCCTGGATCCCCCATCCTCGTCACCATCCCCATCCCCATGGATCTCATCCCATGGATCTCATCCCATGGATCCCATCCCCATTGCATCCCCATCCCCATCCCCATCCCATCCCATGCCGGGCAGGGCAGGATGGGCACCTCTCGCTGTGCCCCGAGGGAAGCAGGGCATGGTGTGACCCTGCCAGGGCTGAACGCAYCAGTGTGAGCYCGAGGTGAGGTCAGAAACCTCTGAWCCCGGGACACTGGGCTGYCCTGGCTCCCTGCCCGGCATCCCTGTCCCCAGAGCTGTCCAAGGTGCCACAGGGACTGGATCCTTTCCTTTAGGGAACATGACTTTCCCTCTAGGAAGAGGGCTGGGCTCTGCAGAGGTCAGGGTCTGTGCTGATCCCAAGTGCTTCCCTTCCAGTGACCTTGCAGGGACAGACCCATCCCTTCCCTTCCCAGTGCCCTTACAGGGACAGACCCTTCCCTTCCCTTCCCTTCCCTTCCCTTCCCTTCCCTTCCCTTCCCTTCCCTTCCCTTCCCTTCCCTT